TTATAAGAGGTTTCTTGATCTATCTGTAAGATCCAACATCCCTTGGACTTGTCAACAACGAACACCCAACGATGTTTAATAAAAGACCATTTCTCTGAAACCAAAAGGATTTGCTCCATCTTCTACCAAAATGATCGATGGCGGGTATAATTGGAGGAAACTTTATGGAAGATGCTGACGGCGGCTGCCCTAATTGAGGGAAGATGCGTCCTCTAATATCAAAATGGAACTATAATGTTTGCCCTTTTATTCCCTACAAAAAACAAAAAATAACTTTTTCATTGTTATCTCCGTCACTTATTACAAATACAGACAAAACTATCTCTCTCTACCATAACTCCATCTCGCTGTTTTTTCATAACCAATCCATCTCATTCTGATAGCATCATCTCAGACGAGCCACATGTAAGTCGGTAATCTCCTCAATTCAACCCTCATTCGCATGTAAAAATAGTTCGAATCTGTTCTAAGTAAACTCGGGTTTCATCGATAACATTTTCCAACGCTGGAAATCATATTCCAAAACTCGATCTGTTCTATGTTGTTGTTCTGCATCATAGTAGTTGATTGATAAACTCCATTCGAAGTATTTTGGTAGGGAAGATGGAATAAAACAACTACTTGATGGTAGATTTTTTCATTTACTTAATGGTAGATTTTGTCATTTAGTTGATGGTATAATTTTTCATTTACTTGATGGTAGATTTTTCATATTCTTGATGGTTTAATCTTTGATTTACTTGATGATACATTTATTTGATCGAACTTTGATTCATTGCTATTTCGATATAGGAAAGATGGAATCAAATATCTTCTACCAGTTCAGCGATGTACTCATTCATGTTCTTGTCAAGGTTGGTCGTGTGTCTGCAAAAGATGCATGTCGTGCAGCTTGTGCTTGTAAGCTACTCAACCAAAAATTGAAGGACCCATCGGTCATGCGAGAGGTTAACCTCTCAGACTTTGTTGCTGATCTGACTTTGATTGATCGATATCCTGTCTTCTTTAATTTGGCTCTTTCATCGGAAAATCCTACGTCGATTTACCTGCATGGTCTGAGATCAATAGTGCTTCGCCGTGACCTCGAACTTGCCATTCCCAACTTCAACAAGGCTTCCAAACTGGGGATAGACCACGCAACATTCTTGATGGCAATTTGTGCCATTGCATGTGGTCTATATCCTAGAGCAGTTGAAATCCTAGACCGTGTAATAAGCTGGAGATCACGCATGCACTACATGGTCGAGTTAGCTGAAAACGTTGCTCTCACCATAAAGGATATGCAAGCTGAGGGTGGAGGTTTGTTGCCTAACGTATTTGGTGCAGACGATTTTCCACCAAAATGCAATTTTAAACACAGATTAATTAGCTGTGCTGAGTGCTACCTACTCGTTCAGTACCAACTACTAAAAGATACAATATGATGGTCGTACTTTCCTGGATATTCTTCTTGTGATGGCGGTGTAAGGGGTATGCTGCAGCTTTCATGTCGCCTTTTTTGTTGTTTATGTGTAAACTCTCTATCAATACACTCTCTGTTTTCAAATTGTCACATGTTCCTATGAATTGCCAATAACAAAGGTAGTGTAACTGTCTCCAAGAAAAAACATATCGAGCTATAAAAAAAGTCAAATAACTACCGTCACTAAACGTCTATCATTACACGTACAGTTAATCTCTACTGTCATACCAGGTTACTCATGTAAATTTTATAAATTTGTGTAAATCTACTATCATACCAAACAAATCTACTAACCTATAATAAACCCACCAACACTTATAATATATCTACCATAATGATATGAACAAGTTAACCAGAATATATATCTACCGTATAAATATATAAATCTACCAAAATAAAATAAACTTACTACCAAATCTATAAATCTACCATCACCTTTGAACAGATGTTCCACACTATAAATCTACTACCTCACAATTTAAATTTACCGACGTCTAAGTTTGTCTACCGTAATATGGTAGATTTATCTTTGTCACAAGTCAAATATCTATTCAGTATGGTAGATTTATCTCTTCAAATCTACCAATTACAAAATATACCTATCGTCAATACAATTAAGTCTACTAGATTCCAAATATATCTAATTTTCACAAATATATCTACCAAGTCGTTAGATTATATCTATCGAAACAAATCTATTAATTTCAAATAAATCTACCATTCTCAATTATTCGTTGACCACCTACAATATATCTACCACTTAATAGATTTATGATTTATTTTTTTGCATACGTGGCAATTTCAAAGTAATAGTAATTTCAAAATATACGTTTTTCCTAACAAAAAATCTAAGAGTAATATCGGTACCATATGTTAAATTAGTAATAAAAAAACTTTTAGGCTTTTCTAGTTATAAATTCACTTTCTAAAGTTAGTACAGTTATCCACCCATTAAATTACTAAGAGAGATTATTCGTTTCTCTTTGTATTTTATTTGTCAAATCTTTTTAATATTGTAATTATTCGATATGAAAATATAAAGCAAAGTATTAAAAAAACGAGCTAAAATATTATCGTGGCATTGCATTTGCAACTTTAAGGAAGACATACTTTGTTTTCTTTTCGTAATAACCATCGAGTCTTAGTTTTTCCAGATTGTTGTGTTGTTCAGAAAATATTTTACTATCTCTATTTCTCCTACATATTGTTGAAACAAAGATAAATAAAAACATTGTTGGGTTTTATCAATTTGTATATATGTGAATAAAGAATATGTTGTAGCACATACAAATGAAATGTATTCACTAACTATAACTCTTTGTGGAAAGCTAACAAAGTCCCACATTAGAAATTTAATTTTTTTTTTTTGGTTAGTATATATAAAAATCATTTTATGCATTGGTTCAAATGGTGAAGAGAGGAGAAGAAGACATGATCGCAAGGGTATTAGATCGGTTAAGTATTGATTAACCTACTTTGTTAATCATGTCATAAACATGCCGTAAAAACAATCCTCCAATCTACCATACATCAGGTTAGTTATTTTAAAAGTATTGTAAAGTTAATTATGTCAGACTCGATCGAGTGTTGCAATTCAGGGGGGTTAAATAGTTGTATCATAGGATTAATGAATTATTAATATATGTCATAGTACGGGCAATTTTTTGAGTTAAGCAAAGAAATTTTGATCTTACCTTAACTCGCTTTATTCGATTTTGGCTATTTCTATACTTTCGTAATTAAATCGAAATAAATAGATTATAAAATATTCGTCTTACACATATACCCCTATTGAGATCAAACAAACATTTCCACAAACCAACGATGATACCAAACAGTGAGGCAAACATCACCTTTGCTTCTGTGTTCTTATGACCAATGACTAGTTCCTACGAAAACAGAAGAAACCAAAACTGAGAAAGATACATAAAAGCTTTTCACAAAAAATAGGGTAAATCAGAGGGTTGAAAGCTATTCATTACTAATATGAGAGATTCTAGTTTTGGACAGCTCTCAAAAATGGTTGACAACAATTTCAAAATCAAAATTAGAAAAATTTTAGCATTCAAACGTACGGGATAGGTAACAAAACTGAAGTGTTGAATGCAGTTTCCAACTAAGTATCAGATCGTTCTTTAGGGGAATAAAGGGCTCGGCGCTTGACTATAAACCTCTGGAATTTTTATAGAAATTCAGAAACCAAGGAGCAAATTAACAAGAGCTAATAACTATCATTATATATCACATGACAAAATCATCACAATTATTCTTCTCGTTCTAGCAAACATAAGAATCTTGAAAACTATCATCTCACGCTCCAAAAGATACGCATCATATTTTCAGTTTCATCCCGTCCATGGTTTGATCTCTTCAGGCTTTATTAGATTATATCCTTGGCTTACTTGGTTTAATAGACCAGTTCAGATTATTTGTTGTACAGATAGTATACCGTAAATGTAGCTTAGAAATCAGATTCGAGGAGTTTCTTGGGTAGACTTTTCGTTTATTGAGTGATTAGCCTAACGTAGATAGAATATTTTGAGGATTGTCAAATTATATCTTTACTATCTAGGAATTACTCTACTAGTTTTAAATTTGCAACTTGTCCTAAATTTGGGATTTTTAAATTAATAAACTCAAGATATGATAGCAAACACTCTCAGGCGATGAACAAATCTTAATTTGACTCTTCTCCTCGAAGTGTAGATCATGCACGTAGTCAATAGTCACAGACATACGAGAGAGAACGATAAAGGAACATAGAGTAACAAAATTGTTTGCACAAACATACGAAAGAGACTAAACCTACATTTCTTGTGTGGCAAGAGAGCTTTAATTCCTACATCGAACTGATTAGACAAAACACAATCATCTTCACATGCTCTCTCTACCCTTTTACCAATCAGATGATGACGACGACTTGACAATCAGATTTTTTGCTGGTCAACTTGTTACACATATATACATAACAAAGACCAGAAAATGTTTGAGTTAGCTATATATGTCATCAAATGCTTGACGTAAGAATCAATAATCGAAATAAAATCAGTTATTATAAACGATATCTATAAAGTATATTTATAGTGACATATGCATAAGAAAAACCCCGAGAAAGAGAGACGACTATATATTCGCCGAACCACATTGAGACTATTCAAATCAGGCTAGGGTTTCTGTGGTCTTATGAAACTATAGATCAAGAACCAAAAAATGGGTCGAGTACGAAGAAGAAGAAGAAGTACTTTGAATGAAATACTTCACTGCCCGGTTAAGAGAATAAGAGGAACAAAAGAAAACAGTAACCAACTTCAATCCATAAACAACAACAACAACAACAATCTCTTGCAAAAGTACCTTAAAACCGTTTCATATCTATTTAGTCCAAAGAAACAAACACAAGAAACACACTAAACATGCATTTCCTGTGGGGCATGAGAATTTCCACATCAAACTGATTAATCAAAAAGACAATCTTCCCATGTTCTCTCTCAGCATTTACCAATCAGTTGAAAACGATTTGACAGGTGGCAGAGCGACTTGGGATTTTGAAGAGCTCCTTGGCGAAGTCAATGCCAATGTCATAGCCTGTCAAATCATGCTTCACTTGTAGAGTGAGTTTCTTGAGGATCGCAGAATTCTCCAGAAAGTACTTTGCCAGCTTCATTTCTGCAGCACTTCCCGAGATGTCGGTATTGAAATCAACAAACTCGAGCGATGACAGCATACATTCAGGAACAGCAGATGAAAAAGTGAAACGATCCATCTCCTCAGAAGGCATTTCTTCATAATCATCTAGCCCCTGAAGAAAATAGTTGATTTAAACGCGATGAGGAAAAACACACATTCATAAGTTTCATAAAGATGGAAAAAAATGTAATTGGGTTGAGCAGATCATTACCACGACGAGGTACTTCAGTTTCGGGCAGCTCTGAAGAAAGGTTGGTAAACCTTTCAAGTCGGCTTCACAGATTGTAACAACCATGCAGGACACGTTAGTTAACTGAGGCCGCGGTTCTATTATGGCATAGTCATTGATGAGCTGAAACCAAACAGAAAGTATTAATTTGTGGAGTTAAAAACTTTTCATTAATTATAGAAAAAAATTGAAAATGAGCACACGTGTATGTATATACCTTGAAAGCGTCTGTTTCTACTGACATATTCATGACCGTCGAGATCCCGGGCAGAAAACTGCGGACGCGATTTCTCCTCGATGCAACGCTTCCTTCATGTAGATCCAGCATACCAAAGTTGAGAGACATACCTAACCTGGCATCGGACTCCAGATTTTTTATTTCAATGGTGTTTGATACGTTATCATAGATGCTCAAACAGCCTAGCAGAGGGGAATCAACCACAAGTTCCGAAACGAAATCAAGCTGGACAGGAGAAGCTCGCATAAAAAAGATCTTCCTCAGTGACCGAGAGTGCACCCGATAGGACTTTGCATCATTCTCAGATACGACAACATTTAAATCGTCCAGGACAGGGCATGATGAGACAAGCTTCTCGAAAGTGGCCTCATTGGGATACAAAATATGTTTCAAGTCCATTGTCGTGAGACAAGGCAAGGAAACAAACTCGGCATCAGCCATTTTCAACCCAAAGAGGTTTAAGCACACAAGTGTCTTACAGATGTAGAGGCTTATGGGCATCTCGCAAAGATACTCAGCTGGATGACACTCGACATTTAGATGCTGGACCTTGCGTTTAACTGCAGCATCAATCCATGAAGAGAGATAAGAGGCATCCTCTTCATCGTTTTCACCTCCGTGAATATCTAAGATGATTTTCTGTATGGATGAAGTCCTACTGGTGTCAAAAAACTTGCCACCAAAAGCCTTAAAGTCATTGAAATCTGGGAATTGTCGGGAGCTCAGTTCCAAACTTGGAACCCAAAGCCAGTGACTCTTCCATTTAGGGGAGACAGAGCTTGTCCTCACAGCATCTTTTATGGAGAGATGAGAGAGGATGTCACAGATCAAAGGATCTGGTAACTGGCCTATCCCATCTTCATTCAATGTATGACCTAATTCTCTGGAACTGGCCATGTCTTTTCTCCTGTAGAAACCTATTTAGAACAACATAAATTTGAAAAAGACAAGTGCTTCAGAGAGACAAAAGTATGTAAATACAACCAAATCTAATCAACCCTATCCTTTAGTTCAAATTCCAGAGCAGGGAAGTTTCAAAATCCACATTGAACCAAACGATATCTATAAAGTATATTCAGGGTGACATATGCATAAGAAAATCCCGAGAGAGAGAGACGACTATACGCCAAACCACATTGAGACTATTCAAATTAGGCTAGGGTTTCTATGGTTTTATGAAACTATAGATCAAGAACAAAAACCCTATCCTGAAGTTCAAATAATTGAAAAAGACAAGTGTTTCAGAGAGACAAAAGCGAACCAAAACTAATCAACCTTATATTTAACTTCAAATTTCAAAATCAACATTGAACCAAGTGAGATTCATAAAGTATATAACACCAACATCGGCCGTAAGACGTAAATTCATAGTGACATATGCATAAGAAAAGCCCGAGAGAGAGAGAGACGACTACGTACGCCGAACCACAATAGGGTTTCTATGGTCTAATGGAAATGACTATAGTCAGAAAAAGAAGAAGAAGTACACACCTTGTTGTGGCTGAATGAAATACGGACAATTGCACTAGCTTGCGTGCAACTCCAAACAGATATCGAGAAGACTGAGAGAGAGAGAAGAACTTAAAATCACATGCAATGCTTCTTAGGTTAGGGTTTTCCAAGTATTCAGTAAAATCAAGGAAATGAGGTTAATATAAAGACAAAGAAGAAGAAGAAGAACGCACCGGAATGGCCGCTCGAGTGGCTAAGACACGTACCACGTGGAAGATCAAAACCCCATAAAATCCTATAATTCCTTTTTCGGTTGCCACCCTCATCCTTCTTATCCTATGATCTAATTCAAATAGAAATAATCTATCTGAATAGTAAATATTACAATTTGACAGGTAAAAAATATTAAAAATTAATATTACTTATAGGAAATATCAACAAATGACAAAGGACCAGTAATAAATTAACTAATTAATATAGGGTATTTCAGAGTCCAAACATTAAAATATTTGACCACCATTTTTCTCTGTTTTACTTTCACGCGCTATCCAACTTATTATCAGAAAATTCCACATCCAAAATTATAAATAGATGTCTAAATGGTGTATATCAAAAATTAATAATTAAATACCTAGACACATATATACCGTATTATTCTGTTAATTAACACGTATTTCCAATTCACTTTTGCGACATATCACTTTCATCTTCTTCCGACACACATTTTTTCAGCCAACAATTTCTTGATTTTTTCTACCAACAATTTCTTGATATATATATATATATATTCTCTCTCTTGATCTTCTTTTCCAAATCTCTTGACTTTCCTCTCTAGATCTCAACAATTTAGCAGATCAGGTGAGATTCCAAAAGAAACATGGTTAAAGGTGAAGAATCTTGCCCAATCCGATCTTTTACCAAACAAATTTTTTGATTTGATGTCTAAATATTTTGGAGAACTCGGATCTATCTTTGGTATTCTCAATCTCTCTTTTAATTGTTGATGCAATCACACACTAATTATAAATATATATGTCTAAAATAATAAATAACACATAATTTCCTACATGATAATAAATACATGTATATATAATAAGATGTAAAGTTATATGTTTTCTTAACATGTTAACTTATTTTTTTTCTTCATGTAATCTATATCTATAATTTTATATAAAGGTCTAAAATAATTAATATATGTCTATATTGTTAAATATAAAGTTACTAGGTGATCGGTCTGCACCATGTGCATGCTATAAAATATTTTATATGTTCAATTATAATTAATATAGTATTGAAGATGTTTTATTTGCCTACCTCTTCTACGGACCTTCATCCAGCGGTTTTTAGTGAGGATGGTCAAATTGTGGAACTACATGAGGTTTTGCCGACAAGGGAGCTGGTTCTCATAATGCTATTACAGAGCCATCACATACTCTGCATTCCCCTACATCATCGGTTGAGGATTTTCCAACAACTGGTTGGGATGTAGAGGCACCTGGTCAACAAGAGACTACTGGTTAAGACAATTCATTACCTCCAGGTGATACTAGTTCAGATGATGTTTCAGTTGTGACATTGCCACCAGTGGATGAGTCCCTTGGTCGTGGTCTACGCACAAAAGAGCCTTCAACACTACAAAAAAGATTGATTACATCACTTAAATTGTAAAAATGATATAAATGTTAAATTACTTATTAATAAATAATACAAAATATATGATTTAACATCACTTATCATAATTGATGCTTTTATTGATTATTTAACTTCAGTTCGATAAAACTGATACAAATTTATATTAGTTTACATCACTTAAATAAAATTGATATAAAATTATGTATTCAAATCAGTTAAATAATCGTATTAATCAATAATTTTGGTTAACATCAATTAAAAAATGATATAAATTTGATATCAGTTAAAACTGATGTAACTAACTTTTTGTACTTTGTCCCACATTGCTAGTTGAAAAAAATGAAAGAGAAAACATATCTATATATAACAAAACTTAAGTACCTAATATTGATATTTACTAGCCAGTAAAATTAATTTCAAAATTATTGATTCATAAATTGTTGGATTAAAATAATAATATTATTATAAATATTTATAAAATAATAATAAATTTAAATTATTTTTAACTTTCGAATATAATCATAATATTAAACTAAATTAATTTTAACATCATTTATTATAATTGTCATAAATACTAATATCATTAATAAAAAATTGATGCAAATGATAACATCAGTTTTTTATAATTGACACATATTGACATCGATTTCAATAATTGATGGAGAAATAAAATAAATTTGCATCAATTGATAGCTAACTGGTGTTAATTATTTGCATCACCACATTCAGAAACAGTTTTATAAGTGATGTAAAACATCTTTGTATCAATTATAACTAATACAAATATTTAAAAGAAATGATGCAATACACCTGTTTTTTTGTAGTGCAACTCGCCTTAAGCCATATATGGTTTACTCAGCTCAAAAAAATGATAAACCTCTTCATGCTTCTTCCGCCTCCAAACAAACGTCTTCAGGTCAGTGTCCTTACCCCCTAACCGATTTTGTAACTTATGACTGTTTTCTCAGTCGCATCAAGCTTTCTTAGCATCATTTGATAGTCATTATGAACCAAAAACATATTTGAAGGCAGCGAGTGATCCACGGTGGAACAATGCTATGGGTTTAGAAGTTGATGCTTAGGAGGTTCTCAATACGTGGGACATCACGAGATGCCACCCGGGAAACATGCGATTGGCTCCAAATGTGTCTTCAAGATTAAATACAATTCTGATGTGTCTGTCAAACGCTACAAAGCCAGACTTGTTGCATTGGGAAACAGACAAAAAAAAGGTTGGATTTTAAAGAGACTTTCGTGCCAGTGGTTAAGATGACAATCGTTCGGATTTTGATGAAGATGGCATCAGTGAAGGGTTGGGAATTTCACCAAATGAATGTTCACAATGCCTTTCTTCATGGGGATCTAGAAGAGGAAGTCTATATGAAACTCCCTCCAGGTTTCAAAGCAACAGCTCCAAATCAGGTTTGCAAACTCAAAAAATCTTTATATGGTTTGTGCCAGACTCCTCGTTGCTGGTTTGCTAAATTATTAAATGCTCTCTGGAGTTTGTTTTTCGACAAGATAAAGCAGACTATTCATTGTTTACTTACATCGCGGGTAGCTCTCTTTTGTATGTACTTGTGTACGTGTGATATATCATGGTTTTTGCTGGTTTTCGACCATAATATATGTCTTGTTTATAGAGTCTTTTTGGTATTTTTCAAAACCTATAGAGTCTTTGCAGGTCTAGGTACAAATGGAGCATAATTGTGGATTTTGGAACCTTTTGGAGCTATACTGAAGTTGATGATGAAATGACCAAGTCGGAGGGCATTAAGGAGCAGGGTGTCGATCGACACCC